GCAGGCTGCTCTAACAGTGGACGAGGAAATAGAATTTCTAACTCCAGAATGGACTTCAATTCTTCTCTGACCTTCTTGGGGAGAACAAATTTTGATTCCCAATGGCCACCCTGTCTCAGTCGGTTCCCTAAAAACAGCTGACTTCTTCTGCAAAGTAAGGGGGAATTGTTGTATGCTGGTGTTAAAGCTATTAATTTCCCTATGATCTTTGCTAGGTCTCTCAAGGACCAACTCTGGTGCTTGAGAGATGAGTTCAGATGTACCAATAATTTGTCCCATTTGTCTTGAGGGATTCCAAGGGACATAGTCCTGGTGTTCAGTATGAAACCCAGAAAGAGGATGCTTTGAGTGGGAATTAGGACTGATTTCTGTAGATTTACTACGAATCCTAGGTCTTGTAAAAGGGAAGCAAGGTAATCCCTTTGAGAAGCAAGGGCTTCCCCATCTGGGTGCATGAGCAGGATGTCGTCTAGGTAGTATAGACACATGAAACCTTTTAGTCTGACATGAGCTATCACTGATTTCATAATTCTGGAGAATGTGTATGGTGCGTTGGAGAGGCCAAACACCATAACAGTCCACTGCCACACCTTTCCTTTCCACTGAAACCTGAGAAAGCGCCTGTGTTTCTTGGCTATGGGGACTGAATGGAAGGCATCTTTTAGGTCTACTTTTATGCAGAAAAAGGCTTTCTGAACTAAGCCTGGAAGATCTGATAGACTCTCCATCCTGAACCTTTTCCTTTTGATGAAAGCGTTCAGAGGCCTCACATTTAGGACCGGTCTCCAGGAACCGTCTGACTTTGGGATTGGGAACAATGGGCTGACCCATCCTGTAATAGACATGTCTGCCAACTCTATTTTTCCTTGACTTAAAGCTAAGGAAAGGGAGGCATCTAGCACTGGGTTCACCTCTCTGTGGGGTGCAAATTTCTGGACTGGGAACCTTAACAGGGGGAGTTGTAAACCCCTTTGAAAGATCTTTAGAACCCATTTGTCTGAGGAAATATCCTTCCAATTTAGTGGCATATGAGGAGGCACACTTACTTGAATGCATGGGTTTCCTTTTGGAAGCTGAACCGCCTCTGGAATGCGCTCCTCTGCCGCCGCCTGGGAGCTTATGTCTTCCACTGTAGTGGCGGTACTGGGCCTGGTGAGAGGCTTCTCGGGACGCTCCTGCAGCCCTATAGGGGCGACCCTCCGTCCGAAAGGGCTTCTTGTAGCCAGGGACGGACTTCTTGAGTTCTGAAAAGGATCTCCTTGCCTTGTAACGGCCTTTAACCTCCTGAATGAACGAGGGACCGAATAGGTAAGAATCCTCCAAATTTGGGAACTCATGCGATTTGGGGGCTAGGTCGGACAGACCAGCTGCATGGAGCCAGCGGGATCTGCGGATGTTTGAAATGTAATTAAAGGATTGGCCAATAATTAGCACTGCCCTGCCAGACGCTTTTAAAAGGGCCATCTTAGATGCTAACAGGGATGAAGTGGAAGGTTTCTGAGCATTGCCTTCTTTTTCTGCTTTATCCAGCATCAGTAATAGTGGTCCCACAGCATCAGCAATTTTAAACTGTATATTGCGAAAAGTCTGGTCTGTGGGATCAGAGGATACGCTGCTCCCTGTGATGGATAACAGCGAAGGGTCTACCTCTGGGGCCATTAGAGCCTGAATGTCCGGGATACCGATGTGGTTCCTGAGGAGAAGGTCATCTTCCTTAACCAAGGGGGATCTGAAGGCTAGTTTAGCAAAATCTCTAACCTCGGAATCGTGCTCCATAGCCCATCTGGAGTGAAATAATTTTGATGGGAGAGTCTTTCCTAGGAGACTTACTCTGGCCATCTGAACATTGCTTAGCTTCCCTCGCTCAGTGGAAGCTGCTGAACGAACCACTTCCTCGGATTCCCAGTCTATTTCTGGAGAGCCGTATCTGGAACTGGGACGGCTTTGGGAAGAAGAGTGAGCGAACGCTCTAGAAGAGGAAGGAGAGGGACTATCTAACCTCCAACGAGATTTGCCCTTTTCCTCTGGGAGGTGTTTCTGGTGCTCAAACGAGGGAAACACGCTATTCCTTTTTTGAGGTCCTGTCCCCTTAAATTTTCGCTTACTCAAACGAGTATGAGGGGAAGGAGGAGCGGAGAAGTTTTCCTCAGACGAGGAACTGGCGGAAGAGACCAGCCGTCTTCCTTTATGCTTTTTATTTAAAACTGGGACCAAATCCTCCTCAGATGATGAAGAGGATAGATCCCTGGCAAGGAAAGCTCTCTTATGGAGCTTTCTAACATTGATGGGGCTGCCTTTAAGAGAGGCATCCACTAAATCTGTGGCAGACACAGAAATAGAGTCCTCCATCAATGATGCCATTTTAAAAAATCTGAGGTAATCAGGATTCCCGCGCTCAGCATGGCTCTCCTGATTACCTGATTGGCTGAAAGGCTGTTGCTGTGCAGATGCACAGCGCGAGCCTTTTCAGCTCTGGCATTTGACTCCGGGAGGCTGCCGCATACCCACTAGCTTTGCTAGGTGGTTATGCCTCCCGGAGGACAAATAGGTAGATCACCAGCATTCTGCAACAACTAGGAATCTATCTTTTGATCAAATCTGACTTAAATCCACCTTACTGGAGTAATGGGAGATTTATCATAGTAGTCTTAATAGGCTCAGAAATCTGATCTAATTTATTAAAGGGTTACTTCAAACACCATGACCAATTAATGATTTAAATAGATTTGTAGTGTCTTGAGTCTGTGTGTGCAGCAATTCCCTTTGAAATACTTCACAAATGGAGTTTAACCCCCTCTGCTCCCGAAGGTATAACTCCACCTCAGGAAGCATCATTGGGGTGTCATCAGCCCCCCCAGAATAGGAGTCCCTGTGACTAATATCAATTCTATGCATTTGCATTCATTGGCTCAGAATGGTCAGCTGAGCTCTTAGCCAATAAAAGAAGACAGCTATAGCATTCGGCTTCTGAAGCTCTGCAGAAGCCAGGTGAGAATCATCAGAGTAGGAAGGACTCACTGGTTGCAAAACAATTTGCCCCACTAGGGAACTCCTCTTTCTTTTTAAAAGTAGTCTGAAATGTAGCCTTTCTTTCACCTCCAATTTTATGTCCCTATATGTAAGAATAATGTGGAATTATTCTGCTTCTCTTGCTACATCAAGTAAAATGTGGTGTAAGAGAATATTTTTCTGATGCAAAACAAATGCCAAAATTGTTAAAAGGAAGGTGCTATTCAAAAAGCATCACAAAAAAAAATGATGTAACAGTCACACAATTTTATTAATGACACGGAGGCTCATATTATGCATTCTCTTTCTATTTATTTCCCTCAGCAGCAAGAATGATAGAAAAAACTTTAACTTAAAACGTATAATACAATATACTGCCTACTGACAGGGCAGCCAAACAACAGAGAGTATATTCTATAAAAGTTACGGTCCAATAGGTGAACTCCCTCTTTCTTGCTGCTCCCTCAGATCAGCTAAGTATTTTGTGAATTTTATCTAACTGTGTAGGGCTTTTATTACCTGTTCCCTTCTTGCTTGTACTGTTAAAGTTATTGTATCTTTGTGTTGCTGGGATGCACCATCTCCCTGCGGTGTTGGGCAGACTGAGCCGTGAATCTTCCTCCCTGGGAGCTTGCTCAACCTGTCTCTCCACAGTGCCTCCCCCCCGCCTTCCTGCTCGCTGTGTGAGATCTCCACCCGCTCAGCAGGTGTATGTCTCTCGATGACTGTCTGTGTATGTATTCAAAAGGAATAAACGCAGGCAACATTCCAATAGTAAGGATGGTATATATATTGATGGGTGAACCACCCCAAAGAAAGTGCGACGTTTCGGCTCAGCAGAGCCTTATTGCATGAGCTGAAATGTCACACTTTCTATGGGGTGGTTCACCTACCAATAAATATACCATCTTTACTATTGGAGTGTTTCCTGCGTTTATTCCTTTTGAAGGCTTTACTGGTGGATCCAGCGATGTTCCCCTGACACAGAGCATCTACCACTGTGGATGGCCGGAGCATTTACATGGTATCGGTGTGCAGGGTTTGTCTGTGTATGTATGTCTCTGTATGCCTTGTCTGTATGGCTCTTTATAACTGTCTGTGTATGTATGTCTCTGTATCATTGTGTATGTATGTCTCTATTTGCCTATCTCTATGTTTCTTTATGTCTGTTTCTATATGAATGTGTGTCTGTATTAATGTATGTCTGTGTTTGGACGACAATGTACCTGTATGTGTAGATTGTATGACTGTGTTTGTTTGATTGTGTGCCTTTTATGACTGTGTGTCTGTATATCGTTGTGACTGTGTGCCTGAATAATTATGTCTGTGTGCTTGTATGATTGTGTTTCTGTATGTTTGTGTATTTGTGCATGTATGTATTTTTGCCTGTATCTATGTCTATGTCTATATGGGAGAATAAGAGAGATAGTTAGGGGCTGGAGGGAAGAAAGAGACAGAAAGTGGCTGGCGGGGAAGTAAGAAATACATAAGAGGGGTTGTAGGAGACACACTAAAGGGGGGTGTAAGGAACAAAGGGGCCAAATGGGTAAGACATTCAAGAGAGTGGATATGCAACACTAATGGGGGTAAGAAATTCAAAACGGTGCTACAAGATGCATTGTTTTTTTGGGGGGGGGTGTCAAAATGCATCTTTGCCTGTGTAGTCAAAAATCCTAGCACCAGCCCTGCAAGGGGCGTGGGCATTCCACCCGCAGTTTACTACACCCTTCCTTAGATAAGGGGGTGCGCATTCTAAGTGCTAGATACTGGACTATGTGCTCAGGGGGCTGCCACTCCGCCGAACGTGGATGACGAAGGTTGTCCGGGTCAAACAGGGGGTTACCCTGTGGATCCCGAAGTCCCAACTCCACCCCCGTCGGGGAGAGGACCACACCTCGAGACACTGAGGCATCGACCAACGGTAGGGATCATGTCCTGGGGTTCATCCACCTCCTAATCCGCCTCCTCATAGGAGGATGAATCCATATTCTCTAACTCAGACCCCTGACTCTGGTCGCTGTCCGACCCTTCCTCTCGGGCCCGTGCCCGTTTCCGTTTTCTGGTCGCAGTATCGTGCCATCTGGGATTGCATCAAACGTGTCAGTCAATTCAGGCAAGGCCTGATTCATTGAGTGAGGGGAGACGTGTTTCATCTTGGTCGTGACTTTGCGTGCCGTTGGTGCTGACTTATCTGCCGTGACCATGTTAGCAGGCAACCCCTGGGGTATAAACAAGGCTTGGGCCAGGGTCTGGGAAATAGAAGAGGACATCGTCCCCATGGCGGACGCAAGGGCACGCAAGAGCTTGGAACTCCTCAGAGGCAACCTCAACAATGCTTTGAAAGCTGGGGCTCTACCGATTCCCCTTGCTTGCAGGATTGTATTTAGCACGGAGCAGTATTTGTGTGTTTGACTGTAAGCATGTGTTTGTATGGAGTATGTTTGTGTGAATGTAGGGGTGTGTTTGTATGTAGTGTTTGTGTTTGAATGCAAGCATGCATTTATGTGTAGTGTTGGTTTTTGAATGCAGGTGTGTGTTTATATATAATTTTGGTGTCTGATACAGAGGTGTGTTTGTATGTAGTGTTGACATTTGTTGTGCAGGGGTGTGTTTGTATGTAGTGTTGACGTTTGCATACAGGTGTTTATTTGTGTGTAGTGTTGGTGTTTGAATGCTGAGATGTATGCACATACAGGGAGTGCAGAATTATTAGGCAAATTAGTATTTTGACCACATCATCCTCTTTATGCATGTTGTCTTACTCCAAGCTGTATAGGCTCGAAAGCCTACTACGAATTAAGCATATTAGATGATGTGCATCTCTGTAATGAGAAGGGGTGTGGTCTAATGACATCAACACCCTATATCAGGTGTGCATAATTATTAGGCAACTTCCTTTCCTTTGGCAAAATGGGTCAAAAGAAGGACTTGACAGGCTCAGAAAAGTCAAAAATAGTGAGATATCTTGCAGAGGGATGCAGCACTCTTAAAATTGCAAAGCTTCTGAAGTGTGATCATCGAACAATCAAGCGTTTCATTCAAAATAGTCAACAGGGTCGCAAGAAGCGTGTGGAAAAACCAAGGCGCAAAATAACTGCCCATGAACTGAGAAAAGTCAAGCGTGCAGCTGCCACGATGCCACTTGCCACCAGTTTGGCCATATTTCAGAGCTGCAACATCACTGGAGTGCCCAAAAGCACAAGGTGTGCAATACTCAGAGACATGGCCAAGGTAAGAAAGGCTGAAAGACGACCACCACTGAACAAGACACACAAGCTGAAACGTCAAGACTGGGCCAAGAAATATCTCAAGACTGATTTTTCTAAGGTTTTATGGACTGATGAAATGAGAGTGAGTCTTGATGGGCCAGATGGATGGGCCCGTGGCTGGATTGGTAAAGGGCAGAGAGCTCCAGTCCGACTCAGACGCCAGCAAGGTGGAGGTGGAGTACTGGTTTGGGCTGGTATCATCAAAGATGAGCTTGTGGGGCCTTTTCGGGTTGAGGATGGAGTCAAGCTCAACTCCCAGTCCTACTGCCAGTTCCTGGAAGACACCTTCTTCAAGCAGTGGTACAGGAAGAAGTCTGCATCCTTCAAGAAAAACATGATTTTCATGCAGGACAATGCTCCATCACACGCGTCCAAGTACTCCACAGCGTGGCTGGCAAGAAAGGGTATAAAAGAAGAAAATCTAATGACATGGCCTCCTTGTTCACCTGATCTGAACCCCATTGAGAACCTGTGGTCCATCATCAAATGTGAGATTTACAAGGAGGGAAAACAGTACACCTCTCTGAACAGTGTCTGGGAGGCTGTGGTTGCTGCTGCACGCAATGTTGATGGTGAACAGATCAAAACACTGACAGAATCCATGGATGGCAGGCTTTTGAGTGTCCTTGCAAAGAAAGGTGGCTATATTGGTCACTGATTTGTTTTTGTTTTGTTTTTGAATGTCAGAAATGTATATTTGTGAATGTTGAGATGTTATATTGGTTTCACTGGTAATAATAAATAATTGAAATGGGTATATATTTGTTTTTTGTTAAGTTGCCTAATAATTATGCACAGTAATAGTTACCTGCACACACAGATATCCCCCTAACATAGCTATAACTAAAAACAAACTAAAAACTACTTCCAAAAATATTCAGCTTTCATATTAATGAGTTTTTTGGGTTCATTGAGAACATGGTTGTTGTTCAATAATAAAATTAATCCTCAAAAATACAACTTGCCTAATAATTCTGCACTCCCTGTATACACATACACTGCCACACACGCACACACTGTGATACACTTACACGAAGATACACACACTGACACACATATACAGATGCAGATACACATATACACAAACTGATACACATTCAGATAGGCAGACACACAGATATATATATACAGATACACACAAACACTGACAGACATACAGATAAACATACAGATAAACACAAACTGACATACAGACACACTGACAGACACACAGATACACACTGACAGACATACAGATACACACATACACAATGATAGACATATAGATACACACACAGACACACTGACAGACATACACAAACACACACACAGACACACTGACAGACATACACACACACACACACACACAAAGGCACACTAACAGACAGACATACACACACACACACACACACACTGACAGACATATATATATATATATATATATATACACAGACACACTGACAGACATATATACACACAGACACACAGACAGGCATACACATACACACACACACACAGAGACACACTGACAGACAGACATACACACACACACACAGACACACTGACAGACATACAGGCACACACACACACAGATACACACACATGCTGGGCAAAATATACACTTTTCTAGCCACTCTGCTGTTTCCTACTTTGTGGGTTCAGGAGGGTGGCTTACCTGGGATCCAGAGTGCTGCCTGTGGTAGTTGGGAGTTGGAGGAGCTAGTCCTGCCCAGCCCCCCTCCTCTCTGCCTTCTCCTGCTGTCTGCTGTAGTCTTCATGCTGATTAGAAGAGGGCTGGTGGTAGCTCCACCCCTGCTGGGTGGCAGCCGCGCTGTGTGCTACAGAGGGAGCAGAGATATGACGCGTTCATATCCCCGCCCCCTCCACACAGTCCGCGGTACTGCAGGTTGGCGCTCGGCCACGCTACAAGAAGTGACCGTCAGGAAAGGGGCGCTGTGCACTTCCCTCCTGCCGGCCACCCGGACATTTGCGCCCTATGGATGGTGCGCCCTAAGGCAGCCGCCTGTGCCGTCTTATGGACGCGCCGGCCCTGGCCCCTTGGTACCTGATGCAGCCTGTAAGACCCCTAAGGTGTACCCGCAAATAATAATTTTTTTTGCCAAAACGGGTTGGAAACCGAGGAAGGGACTTGAGCTCCTTGAGTCCGCCAACGCGGGAGAAACATCACTCAATTTTGCCGTGGCCATTGGATGGGTACAAAGGCTAATCTGCCTGCTCGGCAATGCCAACACGGCCATAAAGCCATTCTGCTTAAAATAGAGCCCAAGTTGATGGATATGGCTACTGAGGAGCCGGGCCCTTCGGCCAAGGGTATGCACTTCTGAGCATCATTTATTAAAGATCTTGGCTCATTTGTGCAGACATTTATGGCCTTGGACAAAGCGCAGGCTAGCATTAAGCGGGTCTTTAACCATTAGGTTTTCCCAGGGGCAGGGAGATCAAGGAGCCATCCGCCCGGCCATGGATACAGAGCCCACATAGGGTCAATAGAGGTTCCTTCAGTGCAGATAACGCCTTTCAGGACACCAAGTATTCGCCCCTCTTCCCATCACGCGGAAGATCCTGGTCTTTCTGTGGCACCCCAGGATATACCTCAAGTCGCAGACCATACAGTGAGTACCATACTTCCCCATTCTTTCCCCTCAGGGGTCGGGGGCAGATTAGCTCTGTTTACTCAGACTTGGGACTTGCTGTCTTCAGATGCTTGGGTACGGCAGACGGTCAGGGGCTTCCTGTCTCGACCTGCTTTCTTCCCCATTTCAGGTTCACCAGCCTTCCAAAGCCTGGCTACCCAAGGATAAGGAGGATTTGATCTCTTCTGAGGTGGCAGAATTGTTTGCAAAAAATGTGATCCAATAAGTTCCATACCACTCTGAAGGATTTACGAGCAATCTGTTCTTGGTTCCCAAGAAAGGCGGAGGCGTCCGACCGGTTATCAACTTACGGACCCTGAATACGTTCATCAGGTACCAGCATTTCAAAATGGAGAGCATCCGCTGTCTAAGAGGCCTCCTTCTGCCCTCAAAATGGATGGCCAGATGGACTTGAAGGATGCTTACTTGACGGTGCCCGTCGTAGTGGAGCACAGGGACCTGCTCCACTTCACATGGTGTGGAAGGAGATGTCTTCCATTTGGACTCTCTTCTGCTTCATGGTGCTTCACCAAATTGATGAAACCAGTGGTGGCATCCCTATGAGAGCAAGGAGTATGCCTGATCATTTATCTGGACAACATCCTCATCATGGCGCACTCACCAGATCGTCTCCATAAAACACCTGCGATGAATGGTACGGCTTTTACAAGACCTGGGTTTTCTCATCAACTGGGAAAAATCTATTCTACAACTGCAAGAAAACCCTGCATTTCCAAAACTTTGTGTTCAATATTTTGTGTGTTTTAACCCAATTTAGTTTGTTTGTTCGGTAGTTTCAAAACTACCGAACAAATTGACCACCCGCAAGGGAAGTGTGCATCCTGTTAACCTCCCAGAAGCTGTGGTTTACCACAGCCTAATTAACGAACGGCTGGGGTGTCACCATTAGTATAGTCGAACATGTGGTGGCAGCCATCTTGTTCGCATTAACGGAACTAAAATCGGACACTCGACGTATCAGCCACCGGTCAACTTGTCAAACACCTGCTTCCTTTTGTTGAACAGCCAGGAAGGTGTTCCCACGAACGGAGGGAACAAGCGCTGCCTAAGAACCAGGAGGTCCGTTCATGTTTCCTTTCGTTTTTTATGTTTTGGTGAACTAGACCGACCACACAGCCTCATTTCGTGGAACCCTTTGTGGGATAATAGCCTAGTGTGTGGTCGGTCAAAATAGACCCTCCAGGAAACTTTCATACCCCTAAGCTGATCTGGGTGATTTTCGGATATGTTTGTCACCCAGATCAGGGCTATCAGGGAATATAATTTTCATGTATCTGAGATATGTTTTTCTGAATGTTTTGGGGTATCTTAAAATATGATGTTTTTACTGCCGGGGGATAATTGATTTATTACAGT